TGCAGACGTAAAGGCGAGGATTGGCAAAGCAAGGGTCGGATTCCTACAATTGGAGAACATATGGAACTCAAAACAACTTTCAACCAATATCAAAGTGAGGATCTTCAATACCAACGTCAAAGCAGTTCTACTGTACGGAACTGAAACTTGGAGAACTACAACAACCACTATCAAGAAGGTACAAGTATTTACAAATGGTTGTCCACGCAAGATACTCAACATCCATTGGCCAGATACCATCAGCAACAGCCTTCTCTGAGAGAGAATAAACCAGCTTCCAGCTGAAGAAGAAATTAGGAGAAGACGATGAAAATGGATAGGACATACATTACGCAAATCGTCAAACTGCATCACGAGGCAAGCCCTAACTTGGAATTCTGAAGGGAAGCGGAGAAGAGGAAAGCCAAAGAACACATTACGTCTGGAAATAGAAGTAGATATGAAAAGGATCAATAGGAATTGGAAGGAGCTGGAAAGGATTGCTTGGGACAGTGTTGGATGGAGAATGCTGGTGAGCGGCCTATGCTCCTTTACGAGGAGTAACAGGCGTAAGTAAGTAAATGAATAATGATACTTCAGTATGCCTTAGTTAATTGACAAAAACTCTTTTCTTTTCATTTATGTAATAAATATATCTCATTCTTTGTAATTATGGCCCAAAAATAATTTTAATTCTATACAAAGACTTCAATTTCAACAATTATAATCACATGTTATGAATATGGTATGAATAACAAAAACAAAATGTCTCACAAGACAGATAGAAACAAGCCAATTATCATTCACGTGAAAGTAAAACATGCAATTTAATGTAATTGATTTAATTTCATTTTGGTACTCGTATAAAAATTTGGTAAAATTAGATTTTTTATTTAAGATGAATTAAATCACCTAAATTATTAATGAGATAAAATTTGAACAAGCTAAATATTATTAGCATAAATGATACTTAATAAAGAGTCTATGAATCGCTATGAACCTCCTATACCTTTGTAGTGAACAGGAACACCAGTGGAGACAATCAAATGTACTTAACACAAAATTACAGGACTTGTTAATAAAATCTAACAATCATAATGTAAATGCCTTATTTGCAAAATGTCCCCCAATTATCTCAAAATGACTCAGAATTGATTGTTCTTGCATTTTCATGCAAATTGCATCCTGTTTCCATTCTTTACTGTTCGATCCTCTTGTTTCTCTACTGTCAGACCTTCTTTTCACGACTAACATCATACACTACTTATATCAATATAAGTAGCACACGCCACACTTCTAGAGTTACTGTCGGTTCTTTATCAATCTGGTGAAATAATTTTAAAATTCTCACTAGAACCGATGATAATAGTTTAATATTTACAAGAAAAATATACTTTCCAGTCTTCTTTTTTTCTATCTGGGTAATCCTTTGCATCTAAAAATGATGACTCAAGTTTATTTATTCCTATTTCAGCTCTAAAGACAATTATAGTTTGAAAGTATACAATTTCAAATTAAAACTTCATTCATGCCCAAAAAGTAAACATAACACATTTAAAATGGTATTATCGAAAATAAACAGAGTTACACATTGTCAATAAACACACATTACAAACAGTATCATTGTAATTCATTGAATAAATAGTACCAAAATTGATATTTACAATCATAAATGATAGATAATAATTTATTATTCATTAATCATTTATCTGACTAAATTATATAATAAATCAAAATCTCATAGTAAGTGATTATAAACGAAATCCAACTGGTCATAAAGTTGTTTATTTGTAGAATGTAAATTAATATTAACATTTCATAATGTGATGTTTGGATACAGATAATCAGTATGTTGTCGAATATTTGAAATATAATATGATATTTAGTGGAAATACAATTTACACTTTTTAGTATGTTTACTTTGTAACCAGAAATACATTGGATCCAGTTATGAATCATTCAATCTGTTCTATTCTTTAACTTAAATCATCTATTTTGAAGTATTTCTGAAGGACTTTTAAACTATTTTGTGATCTGAAGATTGAAACAGAGTAACTTTCCACTCATTTAGTTAACATTGTTAATCATTTTAATCGTTGAGAAATTCCCGTCATATTAAAAGCATAGTGTTGTGAATACAGAATATTCTTTATAATCATCATTTGGCAGCTGGTTCTACAGTTATAAATCTGAATTAATGTTTCAAAATAGACAGCTAAATTTTATGTCAATTACTTTACTTGATTAAAATTAATTAATTAATTAAATCTAAGATTGTTGGAGGAATAAGGTAATTTTCCAATGTTTGTTGGACGTTATAGTGCGAACTATTTACATCAATCGGTTGACAGGTCAACTGAACTTATGATATGATTGATAAATATGTATATAGATGTACTGACTAGTGTTGAAATGACGAATGTGTAACAATAATTTGAATTAGTTCATAGGTCTATAGAAATTGTGAGACTAATAATGAGAATAAATACAGATAATGTAGGGTGAGAAAAGTAATCATGTGAACACAAACGTTTGTCTAAAGAAACTGCACAATACCATGGTGAGTTTTGAGTTAAGTACTTTCTATGAGGACTAGACAAAAAGAATGAATAGTATGGTAAGGTCATACTTGACAAAAAGTATGTTTAGAAAATCGTGTAGCAGTGACTAGACTATCGGGTTACCAGATGAACCTAAATGTGAAGTTTCAGGTAAGGAATGTAAATCATTTATTCTGGTTTTAACCATTCACAAACTTGGATACTTGTGACCATTTGTTAGTAATGCCGTCCTACCACCTACATAAGCATATTGCTTTTATCATACTTAAATGTCAGACAGAAATTAATTTGCTAAAGGCTCTCATTGTGTAAGTATAGAGTTACTAGTTAGGGCCCTTTATATATAAGTTAAATACGCTAACTAATATATCTCAAGACCAACTAATATCACATAGCCACTCAACACTTAAATTTTATTAACCAATTAGCACTTAACTATGCAATATTCATTTGCCCGACAATATTTCATATATTTTTTTCAATTTCTTGTTGATTTTCTCTGAAAGTGAAGCATAATGACTGAAAACGACACATCTCTCATTGCTTCAAATTTTGATGTATTTTACGACTTACAGATCAAATAATGGGCTATTTTTTTCATATAATAAAGCCAGGGGCCATCTCATCTGACCCTGAACATGTCACGACAGTTGAAAATGTAAGCATCTCCAGTGAGTGAATAAGAACACAGAATATAAGAAAAAAACAATTACCTTAAACTAAATCTTCAGACGTAACTCTAATATAATAAATATACTTTTATTATATCCCCATGAACAGAAACATTGTATTTCTGACATTTCGCAACTTAATGTAAGCCACTACTTCAGAGTAAATAAGTAACTGAATTAAACTAACACAAGCTTAAATAGTACTATTTAATTTTATTGATTCATTTTCCCCGAAGAGATGGCCTACATTAAGTCACGAAGCGTCAGAAATACAATTTTTCTACTTATCGCGCTATAGCAAGAATATATTTACTATTAACTCCCTACACAACAGTCAGTTTATTTGAAACTATCAAGTTCAACCTTGATATTGATACCCAGTAACTATAATATACTGCAATATTTATATGCATATACGTAAAACATCACATTGATCAAGGCAGTTTGATAAGTGTGTTCCGCAATTGGTAAGGAATTGACAATACAATAACACTTATACACACACAGCGTTAGCTGTATGTTCGAATTAACCTCGAGGAAGACGTTTGAGGTAGAGTTAAAAACAATAGCATTCGCTTAAATAAACTATGAAGCATTTTACGGTTTTAGAAGTCAAACTACAAGAGATTCTAGATTTCATGACAACTTCACGCCCGAGTCCATCTAGTTTAAGTTTCAAAATGTTCGAGGTAGTCAACTTATATTTTGACGCAACGAAGAGCTACTAGAATCTCCGTTGATTTGATAGTCTGGACTTTATCTTCATAGAAGTAATCGCGCAAACGCAGCAAATTATCCCAATATGCTAGTAGTAATATGATTATTTAGCACTCAAAAGGAAAAATAATATGTAAGGTAAGTAATAATACTGATTCACTGATCCAACTATAAATACACAGCACAACTTTAGTAAGAAACTATTCTTAACACTTCCTTGAGTTGATTTCAGCAAAGTTCTCTCGCCTGAGTGAATTTTCTTATCAATCAACACGAAAGCTGACCGCTGAATAACACCTGATCAAGCATATTTTCTAATATTAGTCCTAATGCCATTTGAATGCCTTCAAATTATCAGACACCACTTGTTGATTGATGTCTTTCTGATATTAATTAATTAATTAACTAAAGTCACTTATGATATCGTATTTACAGTATTCAAATGAAATAATTCTACTCAAAAGTAAAAACAGATAATCAATTAATTACATACTAATCAGTGTGATATTAAAACGATATATATATTTAGATAGAACTATATTCATTTAAACATCTTTTCATATATATTGTCCATATTATATCAAATAGATTTAAAACTAAAACACAATGTATGTTAGCATGAATGTAATTTACACATAATGCATTTCAGAACGTTCACTTCAATGGAAAGAAAAATAACTGAACACACACACACACACAAATAATGATACTTTACGGCACAATATCCCTGGATGATGAAACCATAATAAGAATAAGAATAAATAAAACTATAATGAGATAAAAAATAAGCAATCTGAAATATTAAGACAGAAAAAAAAATAATGATGTTGAGTCAAAAGTAAAAAAAAGAAAAACTTTTATAAAATAAGCCAATAAAAATAAGTTTATTTAAAATAAAAAAACAAATAGCACACAACAGAAGCAAATTGTAAAATGATGTAATCATTTGACAGATTGTAAGTAATATGATATTTGTCATAAAACCAGGTCAGCTGATAGATCTTATACAGCACACAGATATTGAAAATAGAATATATTCGAATATTTAGTGATATAATCTAAACCATCAAATTCAAATGATTAAATCTTCTAATGCATTTAAACTTCCAGACAATGTGGATTGAACAAATGATCTAATATTAGGGAATAAGATTAAAGAAAACATTTTCTAAAGATTATTTAATAAAAGAAGGAAATATTCTAATGGAAAAATATTTGCTTACAAATACATAAGTAGTTGTCATTTGAATGATAACTGGAATCATTATTATATTATATTGTAATAAGCCTTATGTCAAACATTTTTCAATATAGCCATTACTCCGCGTAGAAACAATGCAGAAAACTAAAAAGCATTTCATAAATATACGATTCTTTTTAACTGAGTTGGTTCAACTTCACAAATCCAGTAGTGAATGTTTCAGCTGTCTAGACCATTGTATCCACCCCTTAAAATTACTCAGTAATCCTCTGATACACTAGCAGTGATGTAAAGTCATTTATGTTCAAAATTTCGCACATAACCTACGCTTGACGATGAATTACAGAAAATTTATAAAGTGAATCCTTTATAACAGTTAATGAATTTAGTTAAGTAAGACTTTTTAATAAGAACAAACAAAGTAATTCCTAAGAGTTGGGAGAGAGCAATTTTGACATATCACATTCCGAGGAGTAGAATCTCTTAGTTTGGGACTTTAACTGATGTTTTCCAAAAGCAAACAGTCGCTAGTACACTTCCTAAGCAGATGATTTAAATAAAAAATCTTACCAGTTGCGACTCGGGAAACGTTTGAAATGTCATCTTGAGTTCATTTAAACTTTCCCATTGTGAGTTTTGATGTTTAACTAAGTGACTTGCAAAATTTTTGAAACAAACCTGACAGATCTCAGTGTAACCTAGTGAGAACATTATTCAGGTAGAAACTAATTGTTAGATAGTGGAAAGTTGTATACCACGATTTACCCAAACCGTTAGTTATTTTGAAAGGTTACTCGAAATTTTTCAAAGTCTACATGTATTTATAGACTGCAATTCAAATAAAATGTGTACAGTTTACCTTTTAGGAAAAGTATTTTCGCTTTTTCAATCGTGCAATTGATATATAAGGCATGAAAACTACGGAGAATTACATCTCCGTCAATGAACTAGCTAGATTATTGTATAACAGTATATACGATTTCCTAGTTGGAAATGCGTGAGTATTATACTAAATGGACAATAATTGCGTTTTTCGTTTGAAAGTGAATATGATAAGATGATATTGAAGTTATTAAATCAAGCGCCTAAAAAAGTGGTTTCCCGAATTCCAACTACTTAAACCCTTCACTGTAACTATTGATCATTCATCTGAAACATGTTTTCGGTCAATGAACTAGATATCTCACTAGTTTTTTCAATAAATAAAACTAGCCGTAACTAACTTTATTTGACAAACCTAAGAAAAATGTATAATTTTAAATCCTACATTTTACTTCTGCTTACAGAGTGCAGCAATATATTTACGTTGGAATTAACTTTTTTTTGGAAGTCAACAAGGATTCGATCGTTGGTGTTTTCAGTCCCATTTGTTTCAGAAATTCATTTACCTGTCAAATATTCCGTGCAAAATTTATTACTGTCATTATTCCTTGACTAAAATATTATGTGTGCATAAATTATTAGTTTATTGAGTTGCTTATTCTGATATTAACAATGAACCCATAGGCAACCTCATTTTGAAAATTAAACACTTCAGTTATCAGCCAAAGAAATTAATTATGTTAAGATACGTGTTAAATGAACTGATCAAACAGTGTTATTTCATATATTAAGCATGCTGTACTAAATATCTTAATTCAAGTTGTTCCAAGTTAAACATATTAATTCTTCATACATTAAAAAACGCTAGTAATACAGTGAGTGCTACTTATGTTGATGGACATAAGTAGTATGTGACACCGATCAGAAGTGGAATGACTGGCAGCAGAAGGTTGCGAAGATAGACTTGAAAAGAACGTGGAATTAAGAAGAGAGTAATTTTAATAGCGATGAAGTTTGAGACAATTCATGGAAGATTTGCAAATGAGGCATTTAATGTATGGTTTTTCACATTTTACGAAAGAATTCTGTAATTTTGCATTAAATGATAAATTGGTTGTTCCCACCTGAGTTTTCGTCCACTAAAGTACTTACGTAATAATATCCGGAAGATCTGGTGCTGTGTGAATAAAATTATGTCGGTAACCGAGTTTGCCTTCGTACGGCTTGAAGAATACTGAAGTACCATTAGTTGAAAGAATTTCAGCAAGCTATAGTTATTTGTTATTATTCATAAAAGTAATAGTTCAACACAGAAAAATTCAGGTCAATATCAATAAAGAACTGTTATGATAAAGAGAATTAACAATACTTTCAAAATATTTAGCCTTGGAAATTCAGGTGAATATAGCAACAGAAACGTTGTTTTCCCTTAGTGACTAGCTTTTATTACGCAAATTCTTGAAACAATGTTTACCTGATTTCACCGGTGGTAGTTATTTTAAATTTCCTCAAATGTCTTAGTAAAATCGAGAGTGTAAAGAAGTCTTTTCCGCCCATTAAATGCTGTCAAGTGACGGAGTGTTTATTGTCTGTTCACGATAAACACTACCTCTGGCTTCACACAAGATAGATATTCATGCAAATATAAAAGAATAAAAATGAATTTCTAGTGTTTACAGTGGATTGGTGTACATGAAAGGTTTATCTGGTGGGGAATAGAATAATCTTGATGTCAAATTAATGGCACATTATGTGCTGAAACCAGAGATGATCAAAAAAAGTCTGAAGATAGTCAGTGAATGACATAAAGCCATGGTACGAAATTTATATAGGACTAGCATCTGTAAATCGGTTACGACTTTTCAATCGTAACCCAAGAGATCATCAATTTCAGTGGTATGAGATGCGATTAGACATGGCTCAGAACTGAAGCTGGGAGAATTCTTTCCGTAGTTTTCTAGTAAATTCTTCGTATGTATAAAGTGAACCTTATCTCGATTGTAGTATTTATTGAAGTATATGATTTATTTATTACTGTATTTATTTACTTTTTGATCAAATGATTTTTTCCCACTTTTTCTATTTGCAATATTTAATTTCCACCTTGTCTAGCATATTCTTTTCGTACAGTATAATGTGAAATATTTATATAATAGATGCATAATATCAACATTGTCAACCACATTATTTTTTACTGAGTCATAATTAAAGCATTACTATCAAATCTTAAGTGGAATTTAAGTTATTTTTTACAGATACTACTTTTGAGGGATTTCTTCAATTCGTGAATTATATTGACAAATAAAAGCTTAGACATAACAGACTAAATTCATGCTCTACAGTGATAAAATAACTAATGAAAACTTTTCGTGATGATAAAAGAACCAATAACTTTGAGTCATAAGACCTTCGATCATATTTATTCAACTCTTTCTTAATTTACATCTTTTATCAAATCTCAAAATCAGAACTAACAAATTTCGTTAACGAATGATTTTGACAAAAAAAACACACATTGAGTGATTAACAACACCCGAGTAAACACAATCAAAACCCAGTGTAATTACTCAACATGATATTTTTCTTTTCCGAAAATCAACAAAGAAATATGAATTCGTTAAGTATTTTATCAAATGAAATTGTTATAATGATTACCTTTTTTCCTAAAGTGAATGGCACAACAGCATCATCTTCAGCGTGTAATATAACTATCGGAATGGGACAATTTATTAGGCTAGAAAATATAAAATAAAAAGCCTTCAATCATAAATGTTATAATAAATGTATGTAAGAAATCAAAGCTAGAACGTTTTACTTAGTATGTAATATGAAATTTTGCTTAGTTTTGCTTGCAGATAGGTACGATCCTCATTCAATAACCACATGCACTTCCATCTGTGACCATTTTCTTTACAACAATATCCTTAAACCATAATGATACTTTTGACTCCTCAATTCTTGATTGGTCACATTGAAACCAATTTACTCTTTTACTGCAGTGTTTGGAAAGATTTCGTCATAGACTAATGGAAAACTAGGAAATTCTTCAACGTTGGCCACCCAAGACCCGAGCAGGTATCGGACACATAACCGTGATAGCTAGCAACGAAAACTGAGCATTTATTCACTAGAATCGATTCGTGATGTAACCCAACAATTATTCAGTCTCATTAGTGAATAATTGCTATAGTTTGGATATGGTTGAACTTAGCCAGTTACCGATTCTCTCTACAATTTCCGGAATTCGTCACTAGTTCGATTACTAAGCGGTGCATAATCAGTGTTTCGTTAAAGGATGTATTGAAATATAATTTTAGATAAAGTTAGTTTTTTATCAGAAGGAGTTTTGGGAGATTTTAGAAATTTCACAGATTGAAATCATGAGTCAATTGAAGCTAGGCCACCATGGAAAACCCGGAAGCACTGGACGGCCGTTTCGTCCTAGTGTGGGACTCCTCAGCAGTGCGCATCCACGATCCCGCACCCCATGGTGGTCTAGCTTCAATTGACTCATGATTTCAACAAGTGAAATTTCTAAAATCTCCACAAACCCCTTCTGATAATAATCATTTGCTCACTAGTGACTGACTTCAAGAGATACTCCTGGAGTTCTAGTGAGAAGTCGTGACCAGTGAAGTTCAACCAGGTCTGTGGTGAGATATCAGCTCACTGAAGACAGTGGTGTATGGTGGCGCAACTTCGTGGAAAGTTAGTTTTTGTCATAAATTCAAATCAACTGGATTGTGGATCTAAACTCTTGATGAATGAATAATGGTTCAACAGAAACTAGCATTTGTTTTTTTATATTTAATTATCCATAATCATTAAAGTTCTTTAGTAACATAAAACTTGATTCATATTATCTATTACGATTGCATACATGTAAAGCTTTAATGAACAGTATGAGTACAGTGATAATAGGTGATAATCATTGTATTGTTTTTATGAAAACGAGTTAAATAGAAATATAATGCAGTCTATAAACTTGAAATATAGTTAATCATATGCTGATTAAATATTACTTTTTATTTGTCCTAAACAATAAAATCGATAATAAACAAACCAATAAATATGATGTTTTAGTTACAGAATTCAACATAAAACAAGTGAAGACTGTAGTAGAAATTTCAAAAAACAAACACAATTTGTTATAAACAGAAGCTTGGATTATATATGCCAATGACCTTATTTCGATTCAGTATTCATATTATATAATCATTAAATGGTCTCATAAAAATCAATGACAATGGTTGGGTGATTTTCTACAAGCCGTGATTTAATGTTTTAATTATATAATGAAAGAGAATTCACGTACAAATTGTTTTAATGAGTGATTTACTGAAAACATTCCTTGAAATAATAAGTACTAACAGTGAAAAATTCTATTATTCATTAACAAATTACAATTTTATTAAATCTGAAATTGAATGTGATTCAACAATGCAGTACAGATTAGAGTATTCACTTTCGAGTTTAAATGTTTATAGTATAAGGTTTAATGATAGCGTGTGATTGTTCAAATTGAAATTTGGATCTGCAATTTAATTTATTGCGAGTAGAGTGATGTAATTACTTAGCATTTTAGTAATTTTGTAATAGTTAGTAAATGATATTTACTTATTATCAGAATGTCTTTTGTGGAGATTTTTAGAAATTTTCACAGATTGAACTCATGAGTCAGTTGAAGCTAGACCACCATTGAAAACCTGGAAGCACTGGACGGCCGTTTCGTCCTAGTATGGGACTCCTCAGCAGTGCGCATCCACGACCCCGCACCACCCGGGGCTCGAATCCAGGACCTACTGGCTTCGCGCGCGAGCACTTAACCATTAGACCATTAGCTTCAACTGACTCATGAGTTCAATCTGTGATATTTACTTAATCGAACCGAATCTAACGAAAAATATAAATGCTTATTTTGCAAAAAAAAACGATAAATAAACAAAATCCCTTACAATTTTTGCAGAATTTCAAAAGTATTTTCAAAAAAAATTCAATAATTACTTTGTATGCATATACCAAACATCAGTAAACAATATGCTGGAATATGAAACCATATATGTAACAACATATTATGTCGTATTGATTGTCATTGAGAAAACTGGACCTATTATTACATATAAGCCCGAACATCTCATAAATAATTACATTACAACCCACTAGATTTATCACTCCATGTTCGTGTGTTAAAACATATACGTTGGGAGCAGCAATCGGACGATATAATCAGGGGTGATGGAACTTGTACCTATATGACTTCACAACCAGTTATCACCAAATGATCCGACAAATAAGCGGAGAAAATAGTACTAGTTGATAACAAATAACATTATTGAAGCAAGTCATGGGATTTTACCTCAACACATCTTTCAAGAATTTATACGAAAATTGTCAAGGACGGAAACCTTGATCTTTAAGAAACTCAAGTCTCATTAATATGTACAGAAACAATTCATTCTAACTATGAATCCGTCTAGGATAATGTAACAACTCCTTGTTCTTTTCATGATATATTATTTCTTCACTACTTCCTAAATTATCACTTTATAGTTGACCTTTTATTTGCGTGACTCTCATTAGCCATTACATACAAACATCTTGAAAGGTATGTATACCACTAAGACATTTGTATAGCTTGGAAACATTACATTTTCCATATTAACTGTCTTTTCTTAGTACTATTGAAAGTAAACTTTGGACCATATTTCAAACTTTTATTTCCTTGTTTAATCCAGAAAAGTCTGTTCCTTCTGACTAAAATGATCTAACGTTTGAACTAACAAACAAACATGGCATTATGAATGAAATTGACTAAATCACTCATTTTTTTGCCTTGAATTATGTAACAGGTTCAAGCTTCGCTTCACCTACTTACTTTTACTTTAATAGGATTAGTGTTACTACTTGCCGGTTCGAACTAAATAATGCTTTTATTTGATCTTAGTTTCTTGTGATTCAAGCGTTTCTTGATTAACGAAATAAAAGAGTATAGGTTGAAACAATACATTACAGACGTGTTTGTGTACTTTTCTGAATCATAAATCACGTTTCTATAGTGCCGTTGTTTAGTATTATAAATTGAGATAAACTTAGCAATTGTTAAACCAACCTAACGTAAATTAAACTTTTCTATTTTTTAAAAAAAAGTAAATTGTCATTATTAAACTTTAGTTAATTGATATCACACTACTAAGCTAAAATACAATCTATGAGACATTTGAACAGTGTCAAAATATGCATTATATTCTACTAAGACAAAAATTATATAACCTCAAAGATTACCGATTTGAACAAACTCAATTGTTTTTTTTCTTCTTTTTAACTTCAGTAACATGATATGAAAACAAATTTAATTTATAATAAGAATTCTAATCGATCAGTCTTTCATTCTACTTGGAAGCCAATAATATAAACCAATAGTAATAATAAAAAGGAAAGAATATTTTAACAAACTACATATCACATTGATCAATCCACAAACATTGATATATACGGTGACAAGAAATAACCAGTACTAATTGTATAGGACAGCTCATTTTAAAACCCCAAGTCAAGATCATTTGTTTAAAAACTTTAGTCTTGATCAATTATATGTTTGAAAGAAAAACAATTTAGGATTCTATACAGCATATACATATTTATCTGTTTATTTAATTTATCAGTAGAAGGAATAATAAATAAAGTGACTAGTTGTTGTTATAATATAGGTTCATTCTATTGTTTCCATATATAAATTCCTCAAAACACTGAATTGACTTGTACTACAAACTTAATAAATGTATGTAGTCAATAAACTGCTCATTAGGTATTGTATGTCTATTGTCATTAATAGGTTATATATATATATAGCTTGTTGAAACTTCCAAAATGAAAATAGGTCTTATTTAGATTTAAGTAGTGCACCAGTTAGCTATTGCCAGGTAACCCAGCTCGTTCTTTCCCATAGTAGGATTTTGATAATGGTATCCAGTCAACGAACATTGAGTATCTTAAATAGACAATTATTTACAAATACTTGTACCTTTTTGATGATGGTTGTGGTAGTTCTCCAAGTTTCAGCTCGATACAGTTGAACTGTCTTGACATTCGTATTGAAGATTCTCACTTTCATATTGGTTCACAGTTGTTTTCAGTTTCAAATGTTCTTTAAGTGTAGTGATGCGGCCCTTGCTTTGCAAATCCTCAACTTCACCTCTGCATCTGGTCTTCCATGTTCATCGATGATGCTACTAGGTTAGGTATCTGAAAGATTCCATCTCTTCCAGAAATTCTTCATCAAGTAAGATTGGGTTAGTGTACTTTGTGTTGTATTTAAGGATCTTGCTTTTTCTGTTGTGTATTTTAAGGGCCACTTATGCTGAGGCTTCTGCTACACTAGTTGTCCTAATCTGCATTTGTTCGTGTGTATGCGATAGAAGGGTTAGGTCATTTGTGAAGTCTAAATCGTCTAGTTGCACTAAAGCTGTCCGTGCACGACTGACCCTTACGAAATCCAGCATGTTCAACTCGAAGCTGGACGTCTACTGAATCTTCCATCCGGTTCAGAAACACTCTGTTGAAAACCATTTCTAGTACCGATAACAGTGTGATGCCTCTACAGTCCTCACATTTGCTCAGATTACCTTTCTTTGTTATCTTGATGAGTATCCTTTTTTCCTCTTAAATCTTAATGCATAGAACGTGGAGCATCTTTGCAGTTACTTCTATATCTGACTTCAGTGCTTCAGCTGGTATATTGGCAGGACCTGCTGCTTTTCCACGCTTGATTTGCCTGATGGCCATGATGATTTCTTCGGTCGTTGGTGGAGTGACATCTATAGGAAGGTCTGTAGGTGCTGCTTCGATGGCCCGTGAATTCAATGGAGCTGTTCTATTCAACAGTTCCTCAAAGTATTTTACCCATCTGTCCCTCTGTTCTTAAACCTCGGTGATTGTCTTGCCTTCCTTATTCTTGATCGGTCTCTCTGGTTTACTATATCTTCCTGCTAGTTTCTTCTTTGCGTCATACAGTTGTTTTATATTTCCTCCGTCGTTGCCAGTTCTTTCACGTATTTCTGCTTGTCGGCTCTATTGCTCCTCCTCACTTGCTTGTTTGCTTCTGTGTATTCAGTTTGTATTTTGACTTTCTCCGTTCTTTTTCGCCGTCTTTTAGTTCTTCTTTCCTTGAATATTGTCCAGAATTTCCACAGAGATCCATTCCTTATGATGGTGCTTTTTGCGGCCCAGCACCTCTTGACATGTTGAAGTTAGTGCATATTCGATCCCTTTCCAGTTGTCCTCCATAGTAGTTTCCTCTTCTTTCAGTAAATCCTGTAAGGCTTAGAATCTGTTGTTGAGAGCGATCCTGAATTCGTTGAGTTTGTTAATATCTCGAAGGAAGGCTGTGTTGAACCTTTGTACCGCTGTTTCCTAAGTTGTCCAGTGCTTCTTTAGCTTCATTTCGATCTTGAATTTGCACCGATGTATATTATTTTACGCTGAATGAATAAAGAAGCTCACTCAGAAAATTCAACTTATTTGAATCAGTAATCATAGAACAGTAATAATTTTAAGGCTTCACAAAACTTGCATTATGAAATTAAATTAAGTAACATAGTGCTTCAAGCTCAGCGTTATCAGCATAATAATCCATTAGTTTCAATTGTTTCAGTTATCTCATCGACCTTTATGTTTCATAATATATACATATCTTTAAATAGTTGATATGTGCTTCGACTGTTCAAAGTGTATCGCTCTGATACATCATATGGTTATGATAAACTTACCATGACAAAATATCTTACCTTGAATCAAGTTATCAATATTCGAATAAAAAAAGAAAATGATATCAAAATAAAATGTTTAATCGTTTCATTTTGGGTTATTTTAAACAACCTACTTAGACTGTGTATTAAATGACAATTTTACTTTGTTCATAGCCGATACAAATCGTTCTTGTAAAGTTGGCATTAATTGATAAGGCTATAATAAAATAAATTATAATTGTAAAGATGAAATGATTAGTAATTAGTGGATGTAATTTCGTAATTATTGATTTTGGCTTAGTTTGATAATATTTCATTCTCGTAATTTACTTATATCATAGCTCTGTAACTATATTTCTAATTAAAATCATCACAATAAAAACGTACCACGTAATAAAATGAAAATATAAGTCAATCAGTAAGTGTTGATACGACAAATATGATCTACAGATGACAGTAGATTTGAACAAACAACTAATTATTAATTCTTTCCATTGAAAAGAAAACTAGGAACTACTACTAGTAAAAATGAATTTTAACATAATGTCTACCAGAATGATTTGACGTTGCAATGAATTCGATGTTGATGGTTTTCTTTATCCTTCATCAAAAGTATTTCATATGGATATCGATTGTTGAAAGAAATATTCAGTGAGCAAATTCTAATAATTATTAAAATATACCTAACAACTACTATTGATAACAATGTGATAAGAAAAAAAGATATAATTATTATCAAGCATGTCCCAGTCACTTTTTTTCTTTGAATCAACTGAATTATACAGATTTCGTCTCATGTGTTTATTGTATATTCAAAGATAAATGTCTAAGTATATGAAAAGGCCATAGTATTTATTTAGTTACACAGAGATAATATAAACACTACTTAGTTAATAATCTAAAGGTAACTTAAATTGAAATGTATATTTACCTTCATGAATATTCTGTGATGTATCACATCAGTTAAGCATGTAAATGGGGCATCAAGAATAATACCTTTTGGAAGACGAATATTTGGTAAAGAATCATGCTCTTTATTTAAATGATCCATAAGACAACCGACAATCCTATTAACAAAAAGCATGCACAAAACAAATCTATTATCTAATTGTGCAATTATCAAAAACTGTAAACGTAATGTTAGATTTATTTGCCCTTTACACAGTTGAAACTATTGTTTTAGACTCAAACTGAAATGGAACTTCATCGAATCGATAAGAATTGTAATTTGAGATAAAGTAGCAAAGTAAATATATGTAATGCACTGCACACGATAAAAATCATTTTTATTATATATATATATATATATATGCCTGTAAACTAGCATGAATTCTGTAACTATTATTTTCATTACAACATTAACTAAACCAACTAAATGTTACGTGCATACCATCATTGGTTCATTTTACTCTTCTTTTTCATTAATTACCAGAGGTTTTGTGAGGTATACGGCTAAATCGAGGCACGTTTGCTTCTTAGAGAATCGCCTTCAACTGTCTGACCTCAAGGTTTAATCGACAAGACGAACACGAAACATCAAGGGATGGTATCCAGGGTTCAAAATGGGTTTGTGTACTATTCGTTCTAAAATCCTGGGACCCATTCGAATTATTGGTTTCAAATACAGATTTTCCAACTTTCTTATATATATTTATCTCCTTTTCATCATAAGCTTCCGTTTGATCCATTAACTGCCATTATACGATTTATTATTCTTGATTTATTCCCAACCGATTATTCACAGTCTCCCCTATCACAAGCACTTTTAGCTTGATCTTGAATAATTGTTATTTTTCATTTTACTATGTGATAAGGTCTGATCTGCTTGTACATAAACTACGTATGTTTGACACTACTATTCATACAGTGGAGAGTGGTTACTGTGCCGTGAACTCAATGGACAGGAAAGGAGGAAAGCTACTGTGTCGAAGACCAATCAGGATTTAGAGTTGACTCAAGGCTACAACTAGCGCTGGTTGGCATATTATTGGTTAGCTAAAGGATAAAGTCGTAGAAATCGATATTGATATTGGTCTTATCACGTGATGTTAGATAGGCTAGTAAGTCATAACCAAAACTGAATATCCACCGAACTATCTAAAGCATCAAATATCCTTTTTACCCTTGGGGTACAATAAAATCCACTACAATATAAGGGCAGTAGCAAAAAGATTCTTGGAAAAGGTTACAAAGCCGGAGCAGCACAAAGGCATTTCGAGAGAAATCGTGGACTCTATCCACTGTCAACTGCGCCAGACCATTTGTGAGAGGATATACACAATCGATTAAAATCTTTTACTACTAGCACTGATAGTAAACATGAAAAATGCTTCTTACCCAGTACCAAGTGAATGACCCCAAAAGAAAATCGGCGCTGAAGGAAACCGTTTACAAACAAATTGAAAAACTGTTAAACTATCCAGTAGACAGTCATTTTCTCCAGTTAATGACCCAGTTGAATCGCCATAACCTTAAATCAACACAAACCAATATTTGAAATTATTCAAAATGTACTGTAATCATGCCATATATATTGAATACCAGTTACCAATATTTGAAGGTAACAGAAAACGCTATATAATTAATATTAAATGTGAATAAGTTCCCTTCGCTTAAATATTATGATAGATATGTGGTTCAGAAAAATACGTTACAAGAGCAAATTCCACTCACTTTTATTAAGTTATTGAATCTACCTCAATTTACGTTTCCGTCAACATACTGATGAGTCACATGAACCTACTAGAAGCTATTTTGTGAATGAAGAACCATAATCGTAAAAAAACAGCATATTTTAAATGTGTATATATCTTTTAATCACTTCCATTTGTAATTTTTAAAGTAATTCGGTGATTATTTTAATCTATCATTAAGATAAGTTTTAGCTCACAGTACACTGAGATGTAAAACTACCTAACCCCTCAAACAACGTTACATGACCAATACTATAATATCTTTAACATGTAATTTCGATGTAGTATCTTTAGAACAACTGTTAGCCCACAAAAAATATGGGACATTTACATCAACGTGAGGAGCAGTGATTCGTTGGTTGACCTCTTAAGAACCTAACTACTTCGGTTTCTTAAGTGAAGTAGAATCAACAGACCTCAACTAAAGAGTACGACACGAAAACTGGGCTTGATTATTGAGCTTAATCAGATTAATAGGTTTAAACCCTAACGGCGTAGCATAACTACCCCTTAAACGACAGTAAATGATTGACAAGTTACATTAGAAATCTGATACAGAACATTACCATAAACAAAATACCAACTATAAGATATGCAACTCTCAACTTTTAAGCATAAACCATCGTAGATAGAAATCTCGTAATGGCTTTCAAGAAAACGATCAATCTCATATTGAACGATTCTCCATGTGTATTTCAATCAATAAATAATTTTATGCTCATCTAGGCAGACACATTTGAACAAATGCTAGGAAAACTAGACCCACTGGGATTACAACTTGTTGGAAGGATGAAATACATAACATTTAGGCTGTGTACGGTAAATTTATTATTCTTCGGTAGAAACTGCTGCTAGTATAATCGTGAGGCGACTTAATATAATAGGATACACATTATTATGAACACAATTCAAAAGTGGGTCGTTTCATCAATGAAACAGTCTACAAAATCATTAATGGAACGAGTATTTGTGAATGTCAGTTAATTTTCAGAAAATCTCTTCGACAAAAATTTCAAAGCAGTTCAGTATTTAATTGAGCTATACCAAACTTATATGGTAATTTTTATAGATAAATATTCTATCTTATAAGTTACAGAAAAACGTTATGAAATCCAAGTTGAATTCATGACCTAAATGATGATTATCCATCACTAACTACCATTCAATAAGTAGTGAGAAATAATTTTGAGAAAAATTGTATAATATGCAGATAACGTAACACTTTCAAAATCGAACTTCCTAAACAAGTGTATTTATCAGTGATATTTACTGCAAGACAACTGATTAAAATTTCCCTTTTTTTAAAAAAAAAAACAAATTTATGGTTAACACCATGTTAACTGTACTATAACAGTAACTACAAAAACGGGATGGAAAATACAGTAAAGATATTATATATAAAGAAAGAGGTTTAACTCAGTAATTTCTGAGATAATTTGACTTAGATATTCAAAACAATAGGTTAAAAACAAGAAAACATCGTGAATTACACAAGGAAAAGTGGCCTTGAGCATACATATTATGAAGAAACGAGAAATGTGAAACTTCAATAGCTATTCTTTGATGAATTAGTCTTCATATTTTCACTAACATTTTATTAAAAACAGTAGCTGTATGATATTTTTATATAGTTCCAATTATAAACCTTGATTTGATTTATCATTTCCTGTTGTAGCACCTGGAGCAAATCAGATTTTCAATAGTAAAGTCAGAGAAAATTAACAAGGGTTAGTCTGACCGATGAAAAGAACCAATCATAAAAAACATTCCAGATGAAAAGAATGAAGTCACATAAAACAAAATAAGAATCAATGTTACGATGACAAATTTGAGTTCTACGAAGAATGAATCCATTTAAATACTTGGAGTCAACTGTGAATTATTTTGTTTAGAAAACCTAATCATAGATGAGATTTTCAAGAAATCTAACAATAATGCCTGTATTTTCCTATTTAATTCGAATTAACAGTTAGTGGTTTCACAAACTGATGTCAATAACTTCAAAAATTTACTAAGTGTAATATAATTAAATAACATGAACTGGACCACGATTCTTAAACAGATAAAGAATTTGATAAATCAGCCAATCTTTACTTATTATGTCTACATTGTGAACAGTGTTAGTTGCCAATAAGCCAAATTTACGGAGACTTCAAATATACTGATGTAGTTAAGGAATATCTCTCCCAAATCCTACGACTAATCGAATCATATAACGTTCTTACTATATCAACTGAAGAAGTATTCAGCCAAAAGAACTATTAGCTTTATGCTACACACACAGGTTCGAACATACGATTCACTGATATTAGGAATCATAAAATTTAAATCCTGTAGCTAAATATGTATATCTATTGTCATTGATATTCTGTTTAAGTTCACAGTGTCTGTATCTATAATGTCAGTAAAAATTCTCCATGAAAAGTAAAAAGACAAAAATTATGTAAGGCTTGGAAAAGATAACTTATTAATTCACATCACAGTTTTAAAGAAATAATACGGTGAGTGGAATCCAATGTAATAAATGCTAAAGAGAAGGAAGAAACAATAAGCAAAGGTGTTGAGTAAATGGATATTATTCACTGACAGATGAAAAATCGGATGTGGAACTGATTCAAGATCGTATTATCTGAATTCACAAGATATAGACTGTCTATCGAATTCTGATCAAGAAGCCTAAGATACTCCGCATAACTTAATGGAGTTGACAGAGATCTTCATGTATTGATGTTATGCTGTGGTTTGAAAACCAATTTAATGCTATTGAAGCTAGAATGAAATATTGGGATAGAGAGTAGTTAGACAAATAAATTAAGGAGAACTAAGTGATTACGGGTGGAGTACATGAGTTAAAGATGTACAGAATCATGTTTCGTTTTTAGAGATCCATAAACAACTGAGCTCTTAGTATATCCGAACGAAGAATAATAACTGCTAGGAGTTATTCATAGACTACTATTACATATATTCTCACCGAATAACTAATATATGACTAGACTACATGTATATTTGTGTTCGTTTTATCTTAAGCCTTCACTTGACCTATTGGTTACTGTTATACAACTATTCTTAACTTATTCCCAATTTATAAAAATCTTCAATAGGAATGTCAAGGCAGTTCTACTGTAAGGAGCTGAAACTTGGAGAACTACAACAACCACCATCAAGAACGTACAAGTATTTAGAAATGGTTATCTACGCAAGATACTCAACATTCATTGGCCGGATACCATCAGCAACAGCCTTCTCTGAGAGAGAATAAACCAGCTTCCAGCTGGAGAAGAAATTAGGAAAAGACGATGGAAATGGATAGGACATAAATTACGCAAATCGTCAAACTGCATCACGAGGCAAGCCCTAACTTGGAATCCTGAAGGGAAGCGGAGAAGAGGAAAGCCAAAGAACACATTACGTTTGGAAATCGAAGCAGACATGAAAAGAATGAATAACAAGTGGAAAGAGCTGTAAAGGATTGCCCAGGACAGGGTTGGATGGAGAATGATGGTGAGCGGCCTATGCTCCTTCACGAGGAGTAACAGGCGTAAGTAAGTATTTATAAGTTACAGTATTCCATACAGCCACTTTTGGTTTGATGAAGTATAATTATTATTTTTAATTTTATGGTATGATGCGGTCTGGTTTGCTTGTATACAAACTATGCATGTCTGAAATATACGATAGACACATTGGAGGCTGATATTTGTGTTCTGGACAGAACGGGTTGGGTTAGGCGAGAAGTTACTATACAGAGGACCAATAAGGATTTAGAGTTGACTCGAGGCTGCTAGTGCTGTTTTGATGCATCATTGGTTTAGCACAAGGGTAATGTCATAGAAGTCGGTATCCTGATTGGCGATTTTGTCACGTGATATTTGACGGGGCATGTGACATAACAGTACTATGTTGAATAATGATTGGAATTGTCATAATATACTGTCAATACAGCACTTATTATGTAACAACATCACATTTATGAAAATTAACATTTCTTACATTAGTGTGCGTAAAAGTGATCATATATCGTACAATCATTTACCATGACTAAAACATATATTTCTTACTAAATTGTGCGTTTAGCTTGCATAATTTACGTTTTGTTTGTGAAATGTTTAGTATTTACTATGTTTGGAATATTATGACGGTAAATCCTAACTTTATGTTACAGGTAACAACTGATTAAAGTGTAAAGCTTTTTCATATATTTATAAATCAATTTAATCGAACGATTCAAGTATTATCACTAACTGGTTGATTTTTGACTTAGAAATCACCAAACTTATTTCAGTTATCACAAATAGTATAATTCAAGTAGATATAACACTGTAAAACAAGATAATGCTTAGTCATAATAAAACAAAGTTACTGAAATTCGAACGATGCGTACTCTGTGGGAAATTAATTTTTCAGGGTGTAAAATTGTATTTTGGTGTACTCTTGTCACCCTTATTGTCAAACAAATAAAAAACTTAGTTCTAATAGTCTAATGGAAAACCTACTGTCTGATGAATACAAAACTTTCAGCTTCAATAAAGTAACATCTCATAAATCTTGTTACTATAGTAACGTCATTTCATATGACAATATTAAACGGCTATGTTACGAGAGATGTTTGTTAGCGTTAGATTCCAACGGAGGAAGATTTTTGAGACAAGGAACGGTCTATGTGAAACAAACTTTCCGTAATTTTATTATCTAGGATAGCCATTGTAAACAGAATGGCCCTTCAATTAAATACATGTGCAGCATGAAAGAACATTGGCGGCGGCTAACAACGTCTAAATGGTATTTCCCTAAACGTCCTATATGTAATAAGTCAGGGAAGCTATTGGTTGCGGATGTCGATCCTTCGCTCATGTTCATCTAATGAATGGTAATGTTTAGTGTCACCAGGTGGTCAATGACTCTTAGCCATGATTTGCTATATAAATATAATGAAAGTAACATCGAAACTCCGATTCAACTAAGTACTGTGTTGAAAACAAAACTTACCGTTAAGCTGAAATTTCTGATATATATATAACTTACAAACTTTGATCTAATGGTAAATTTTGATTGTATTAACACCTCGCTGGAAAACTTCGTTGGATAAAGTTAATAAAATTTACCGATTTCAACATCAGAAAAATTCACTTCCTCTTAAAAACCTGGAACTCGTATTATCACTAGCATCAATTTAAAAATGCCGTCAACACGGTTTCAAACAGGCATAACTTCTTTAAGATATCTTACTGAGCAGTCTATTTAAATAGAAATTATACTTAATATAATAAACTTAGTTATGTTTTAGTTAGTTAGAGTAACTTTTTACTTCCGTCATATCATCACATGATTCCATATATTGGTTATTTCCTTTTAGTTTTCTGTATTTTCATTTTTTCTTTGGTAGAACATTTATTGGAAAAACGGTCGCACTTCTTTCAAAGTTATAGAGTTCTTTTACTGATATTACATGTCACTAAATAAGTAATTTATATGTACTTAAACTGTCATTACTACATTTATCAGTTAAAAATTCTATCACAATCATAATGTACAATTATTTACAATATTACACTCATTACTTCGGTACTATTTTCATTGAGCTTAGTTAATTTTTTTAAGGTTTCAACCACCGGGATAACGACAGTATTATTATTCAAACAGTTTACATGAGAAAGCAAGCACATAACCAATTATGTAAGCCAAATTAAGAAGAGTAAACAAATTCAAAATTCCAACATCTGTAGCATTCCCGTCGACAGTTGTTCAACTCCGAAATTCAACTTACCTCTGTAATCGAAACAAAAAACGTGATAGCCAAGAGATGACAATAGTTTATAAATGTTTACCCTCCAAGGAATAGCTCTTGATTTAGAATTGCCATGGAAATAAATAAATACAGGCAAATTATTAGGCAATGAATTCATTATTTCTTCATAACTCCGTGAATCCGCAGCACTAATTTCTTCATTATTCGATGGAAGAATATGCCTAGTGACATTAAGAAACCCAAAAAATGCATCATAGAAAACAAATAGGATCAGGCGATATGAATCATATTAAAATGGAAAATTATTTCGTTATGTTTATCAAATTTCTATAGTACTAACAAGTAATCAATGGTGAACAAAACTAAACTAGCATTTAGACTTGAGCTTTTTTACTATAATATAATGAAATATTGATTATAAAATAACAGAGCAATTGGAAGAAAAAGAATTGTAATAATCAAAATAATTACTCAAAAATCAACCAGTTGCTACGTTGCATAATATATAAGAAGAAATTTGATGAGAGGTCATTATTATAATAGTTGTGTAAGAATCACGAGACGAATGCTGAGAGTAAGTAAAATACAAAAGTAGAAAAAATTCAGAAACAGTTTAAATGTTTTTAAAAGAGAGTGTTTCATCAAAGTTCTGATACAAACTCACTCCTATACTGATGGCCAAGATTGCGAGAACGGTTGTACAAACTTCTTTTGGATGCAATGATTTGGTTTGTGAAAATGGATTCCAATACTTTCAGCAATGTGTAAAAAACGAGTTCGTAAACCATTTTGTTCAATTCTACTTGATGACCTGTGTCCACCAATTGAGCGGAAATATAACTTTTTTGGTTGAGAAAAGGATAGGTAAGAGTGACTAAGAATTTGTACAACCACTCTCACTACCTTGGCCATCAGTTTGTACCAGAACTTTGATGAAACTCTCTCTTTTAAAAACATTTAAACTGTTTCTGAATTTTTTCTACTTTTGTATTTTACTTACTCTCAACATTCGTCTCGTGATTCTTACACAACTATTATAATAATGACCTCTCATCAAATTTCTTCTTATATATTATGCAACGTAGCAACTGGTTGATTTTGAGTAATTATTTTGATTATTATAATCATTTTTCTTCCAATTGCTCCGTGTTGTTTTATAATAAATATTTCATTATATGATTATTATGCAACGTAACTACTCTGTGAGTATTATTTCATTGTTGTAATTTTTCCAATCACATAATTTCCTGTTTTTTAATATCATATTGAACACACCTCAATACAGTTTGAATTAATAATATATCAGTAGTCACGATATCGTTAACTAATTAGTACTAGAATTAGCTCATTAGTATTTTTGTCTTTATATGCGATCAGTTATTTTCTTTATCCCAATTGATCTGGCGATTGTAGGATTTATAACAAACATCGTGACAATAGATATAATTAAGAATAATCTTAAAATAATTTTTTTTACTTTACGATATGAAGAATTTATACCCAAAACTCAGAGATTAAATGACTATAGATTTAACCACTGAACTTTGACGAAGTATGCAATATTTTTAGAGTTATATCCTATATTTCAGCAAAACCTTATCATCACATATGAACATTGTCAAAGCACGATCTTGAAGCCTAAGTATTTTCAAAGTGAACAAGTGGATGATTTAGTCATTTTTAGCATGAGGTAAACCGTTTGATTAATTTATAAATATACTTAATTACTAATTACAAAGCTTATTTGGGTTTCATTTAACTAAAATAATTTTAGCAGGACAGTGATCACATCATAATTCCATGGAACAGGAAGACTAAAATAATAATATATGCGGTGAATTATGGCATCGAAGGACGTTTTATGTTGTTGTGTTCAGTACCATATAATTGAACTACAAAGTTATCAGTAAACTAGCTTTAAACATTAAGTATACTAAGAAATTACGTGAGTGTTCGTGGATTAATGAAAATAATCGATGAGGACACCATAACCTTTACAACAACAACAGTGAACATAACCTGTCAAGCATATACTCAAATACATTTTTAGCTAAATGTAATTTTCAGTTACTAACCAACCGTAGAATATTCTTACTTCACATAAGTCGTTTAACGATGACCAACTCGATTTCATCTACTCACTCTACGTCTAGTGCTTTACACATCACAATAAAGTTTACACAGTTCTAACATTATGATCATTGTCTAGCTTAATTGGTGGTAAAGATAAGTGATAGTTGTAGAAAAAATTAACTAAAAGGTTTAAGATTAAATCTTCAACGATCGTAGAGGTTCAGTCCTCATAGACAGTAGATTATAGACATAGACTTTGTAAGCAGACATAAAAGGTTTTCATAGTTTTGAAATCACGAACTGATCTTAGCCGTAACTAGTAAAGTCTAACCATATCGGGTGTAAGGCAATTACCCGCTTCATTCAATGAAAGGTGATCAAGGAATACCGTGAACTGAATGAAGTTAGATATTAATACGGACCAGTGGTCTAGAGACCAGGCGGTTGTTCAGCACCGAAGATTTTGGATTCGATTCCTGGATGAGGGATCATAGAATCGAACTGCTAAGGTGTCCCATACTAGTGTGAAACGGTAGTCCAGTACTCCCAGATTTCCAATGAGGGTTTAACTAAGATTAGTTTGTGATTTGGAGTCTATGAATATTATGTTCTCTCTACAAATTCCTGGGCTGTAACACATGGTAGCAAAATAATTTTAACATCAAGCCATTCAATCGTTTTTATAGGCATCAATACCAAGGTTGGATTTATTAATTTCAAACAAATTGAGCATTTGGTAAAATGTTAATAATAAATATATTTTGTTATATCCCGATGAGTACAAAACTCTTATTTCTAACGGTTCGTGACTTAATGTAAGCCACTTCTTCAGAGTAAATAAATAACCAAATTAAGTTAACACAAGTTGAAATAGTGTTATTTAATTTAATCGTTATTTATTTACTCTGAAGAGGTGGCTTAAACTAAGTCATGAAACGCCAGAAATACAATTTTTGCACTTATTGGGATATAACAAAATATATGTTCATTGAGTCGGTTTGTTGATAAATAACCAATTTACAAGTACTAAGTCAACTAACTTTAAAACTATCTAATCGTTCAACCACGCCGTAAAATGTTTCATTGAATGAACACTTCTGTAGATAAAATTTCTCTCTATCAATGACAGACTGAAGTTCTATAGTATATTAATAACTCTTTATCCCTTCAAGTTTGATGTGATCAAGATTGTAAGTCAACAGGTGTGCTTTCGTTTTATTCTTCTTCAAAAACCTGGTAATTAATAGCATCTTACTGCTTTATTTTTTGTCTATCGGTATAGCTCTAAAGTTAACAAAATATACTTGACGCATAATACTTCTCTTTGATCCATCTCATTGTCTACAGACACACGGGAGAAATATAACTGCCAATTGTGGTTAATCTGTACTTAAACGGCATATCAATTTTCATCATACATGCAACATTTGCACAAGATGGAAACGCTGAACGACGGTATTTTCGCGTGTTAAAACAATAAGATGCAAAAATGAGGAACTTTCAACTACATGGTTTTAGAAAATGTATCCTTTTAACAAAGTATATAGTTACACCACAAGAACTGTGCCAATTCAAATTGTATCATTCAAGTAGAATGCGACTTACCATACTCCTAACAGAGCTTTGTCATCTAGAGAAGCGATGTAGAAATTGTGGCCATGCCCACTAGGGATGTCCACAGATTCAAAGTGTGTATAAACTCGGGAACCAAAGCTAGGTCCACCTGCATCAAAAACAAGTTCAGAATCACTTCAGGTTTACTAAAACGGTACAAACAAACACGAAAGATATCACAAGGCCGTATATTACTCATTCTGAAATCATTTAAAGCGAATGTACGAAGTTAACATCTACTATGGACATCCTGGGCTTAGACAACCAGTCTGAAAATTAAAAACTGTACTACATAGTGCAGTTACGGGATACGATTCTCTCCCTCGAAATGCAAAATGTTGCTTCAGGATTGGGTTACATCGACACCCGAACTAGTGATAGGGAGTGAAGTAGTTGAGTGTGTCGACCGCCTCACTTATCTTGGAAGTCTCATCAGCCCTTGTGGTCTGGTGTGTGACGAAATCTCAGCACGGATACAGAAGGCTCCACTAGCTTTTGCCAACTTGCGTCATTTATGGCGTAGGCGAGATATCCGTCTATCAATCAAAGGACGGGTTTACTGCGCAGCAGTTCGTTCCGTCCTACTTTATGGCTGTGAAACATGGCCGGTAAGAGTAGAGGATATTCGTAGGCTACTAGTATTTGATCATAGGTGTCTTCGAAACATTGCTCGTATATCATGGGACCATCGAGTAAGTAACACAGTTGTTAGGGATCGGGTACTAGGTAAGGATGGCAAATCAATTGATGAAGTAGTGAAACTTCATCAGTTGAGGTGGCTGGGACACGTGTTACGTATGTCCAACCACCGACTGCCTCGACGTGCTATGTTCAGTGGTATAGGAGTAGGTTGGAAGAAAGCTAGGGGCGGCCAAACCAAAACGTGGCACAAGTCCATGAAGTCACTGACAAGTGGACTGAGTCATGTTGGTAGGTGCAGACTACCTGGTTGGGGACCGCGAGATGATAGCAACCGATGGTTAGAGACCCTGAATGACATGGCTCAAAATCGTTTGCAATGGCGCAGGTGCATCCACTCTCTGTGTTCTACCAAATTCTAATCTTCTGAATTCTTCATGTCCTTTTTTTTCTTTTTCCAAATTTATTTCACATCTCCAAACCCTAATCTTCCCGATTACTGCTTATACTCTTATTACCTCTACCACTACGGAATTTGAATCGACAACTGAATCTCTGTGCTAATGTGGTGTGGCAACTCGAACTGATGTACGTACGTACGAAGTTCTACGTTGTTACTGACTGACTGACATAGTGCAGTTAGTTATTTTCACACAATCACATCAACGTATTCAAAATAATTATTGAAAATCTCCAAATTATGGACTATGAAGTTAATTTCAGAAAGTACTAACGGGTGGACTATTTCATAAATGTATGGTTGAATATTGTTTAAGCTTTGGAGATTGAAACCAAGTTAGTTGAAGATCTCGTAAAGTACTAGCGTCAAACCTCTTTCAAGTCATGCAGTTCAAACATAAATACTGGGTTACGTATTTAAAAATTCAACCTAAAACATCCTTAATATGAAGTATTTCACAAAATTAATTACATTTATACTTTTGTATTCTTCTCTACCTCAAGATACAAAACACTGGGACGATTATTTTAGTAAGTATATCAGGAGAATCAATACATCTGTTCATTAGAGAAACAGATAGTTCTGACGATACGCATGTGTTTAGATGTTCAGAAATAAGCTCACAACTTGGTAGCTTCATGTTCCTTTTTGGTTGTTATATTAGGTATGTATAAGTATATAAAAGTTCATTCGATAATTAAATGCATCCCATTTAGTTGTTAAACTTCGCCAAGAAATGTTCAATCATTTCTCATTGAACACCGTCTAAGTCACGAAAAAACACCAGCAAATCAATAACTAGTAAAAACGATGAAATGGTACCACAATCATTTCTCAACCGACTAAATTTGCTAAGAAACTTAACCTGTCTAAATTACAGAAATTTGACAAACGCCTCATGATATTGAGTACAAAAAACTCCGATACAACTTAATTTGACCTCAAATAGAAGACTAAGATCAACTTCAGGAGGCAGGTCTAGACATCTGTAAAACCTGCAATGGTACGGGATATTTTAACTATTTGGCTAATTCAACCATCTTAACACACGTTAATCCGTTAACATATTTACCACTGCCAAGTAAACTAGAAGTCAAAACCGAATTTCTTTAGAAAATTCAATGATACAAACTAGATTTTATGACTAGCTTAGCATCATGCAAAATACTAAACCTAATTGGAATCCAAAGCTCCTTCAATTTTTCCAAATAGTTTAACTCATTTCAACGAAAGCTAGCTGTCCGTATACAGCCCTTTAGATCTGAGGAAAAATACGGAATAACCTCACAAATGTTTAGCTAATTAGGTGGATAAACGCCGTGCCCATTGCCTAAGAGAGATTAACAATTCCCAACCTCATTGACTAGTAATACTCCTTAAATTACTGGGACCTACACAGAAAATGATTCAATGCTGCTTGATATGTGCTTGTTACGGCTTCGATGATTAATTAATTTCTGATGACTGAAACCTGCAGAAAGTCTCCCCACAGGACGATGATTTTCAATATAATATCGAATAATTTTTACCTAGAATCACGATTAGATAACCATTACCGGGCATTTAGCACTCATCAGCGTGAGAAGACTTACATAGCAGTCCAGGGATAAGGAATGTAAACTTTTATAGAAATGGTCTTATGAAGTCCCGTTTTCTCTGCAAGTCAAGCTAAGATAGTGTTCCATGGGCAATGACACTCATCAACTACAGAAATATCAAGCAACACAAATACTGAAGCAAATAAAAGCAAAGTATCGATAAACAATATTTAGTTTCATATTTTATGCTATCAGCACCTGTCTTCGCAAACTTACATGACACTACATGCGCTAATCCAATCCTACAAAAATGTCGACTTGGACAAATTCCCAAGTCAAGAGAAGCCAATATATGTGGTGCTACACGTCCCTAAAACCCTACAAATTCGCTCCTTTTTGAATCTTAAACTTTAATTTCCATTGATTCATTGGTACTTTTTTAGGCACGATTGGTTCCCTGTAGCTAAAATAGGTTCAACCAACCAAACCAGGAGTCGAATATTCTATTTACGACATCAACAAAATTATATACTATGATATATTAGAATCTATTGGCCAGAAATCCTCATTAACAGTCATTTTCTTGATGAACTAATGAAATTTGTTTATTTACAACAACAAGTGGTAGCTACAGAAATGACTTACTGTGTGTTTTGAAAACCAGTCGCCGACAAAAAGCAGGAAACTTCTCTACAATCAACGGTAATGCTATGTACAAGATCAGAGCCAAGTGCACTAAAAATGCTGACACCCATAACAGAATCATTACAGGCGCCTGACAAATAGTTACTTTCGCAATCTCGTAACCCCTTATTTAATTAGCATAGTTAAACAAAGTCCACCAAGCCTTGCCATGAGTAGTTCATCGATATCAACTAGTCAAAGCGGATTACTTTTTCACTTCTATTATGAACCACTGAAATGACCGTGACACGGGAACGTCAACCATCTTGCGTATTAATACCTAGTTGTTGACTCTTCGAAACTGCAAACGAAGGACTCTTCAACGCCTTTAATCGCAAACCTAATTACTAAACCATCTATAAGAACGGAGCTGATGATAACATGAGCACTGTCTGCCATAATGTTCCTTACTTAAGTATGTTGACTTTCCCACTTCAAAACCGAACAACCCTTGATAATTAACGACCACAACGCACTATATAAAACGTGAGAGTTACGAAATACTCACTTCTGACTTCTGTTTGGATTAAGTCTGGGATTCCCGATTAGATGAGTTCTATAGGTTCGGACTACTAATGGTGGACATTTGCAATCGTACATCCTGTAGCCGTAAATAAATCCCCAAAATAAATAGCTCTGTAAGTTTTCGACATTGGATGCTGACCATATGTTTTAGTGGACTCATCTAGCTGAAGGCGCTCGGTCAGGCATCTGCTCCAGATCACGTGTGGTAACGCCGTGCTCAACATCAACCCCAATCGCTAGCCAGATAAGATCAGAGAATTCCGATCTATTGGTCATCGCCAAATACACTCTTCCGATCTCCTCGACTCTGTCTTTTGATTTCTCTGGGTGGGAACGAAATATATGAGAAGGTGTTACTGGTAGAAGCGTTGTCAAACACTGAATACCTGTGTCATTTTTCATTGGTGAGCCCGACGTGATCGGATACACCTAATTGCAACTGTGAGTCTGTTCCTTTTTGGGATTTTTATATATTATTGCCTTATTTCTTATATTTTATACATTGTGATATTTTTTCGTGTTTTTTCTTGGATATATATTTTTCCCCTCGTTCATTAACGTACTTCATATTTCATCATAACCAAACAGACTCCTAAAGTATTTAAGATTAAGACCATGTCCCCACCCTCGTTCCAACTCACGCCCTTCTGCTACGCAGAAGCAGACTTCCACGAGCATGGCGTGAACGACACACGTGCACTATTCCTCGCAGTAGTCAAGGCACTACCGCGGGAATTCAACAGGTACGTAACACCTAGTATGTTTACTAGTGATGTTTCTGAACCTTACGAAATCTTAAAACGTTCGATTCTTAAACGAAGAGTTCTAACCGATCGACAAAGGTTAGATCAACTCTTTAATAACATAGACCTGCAGCTCGGTTCTGCGACGGACATGTTGCAAAGAACGAGAGAGGTTATAGGCCCCAGAACTTTCGATGGTCTATTCAAACAACTCTTCATGTTTAAACTTCCCCAACAGGTGCAAGCGGCTCTGATCTCGTTTCAGAACAACGCCTTACACGAGCTGGCTGCGTCTGCCGATCGTATCTTAGGAATTACGAAATCCTCTACTACCGAGGTATTTTCAGTCAAAGAAAAGCCTCACACGACTCAGAATGACATAACCGAGTTATATCATACACTCACGCGTTATCTTAATTTTCGTACCGACCGTAAGAGGTCGCGCACCCCACGTAGAAGCATTTCACGTAAGCGATCTGTCTCTAGACCACGAGAGACGGATAACCCCGACTGGTGGTGATATCATAACCAGTATGGAAAGTCTTCCAGAAATTGCAGAAAACCCTGCAATTTTCCCATCTCAAAACCGACTGACTCGAAAAACAACTCGGGAAACTTTCAGGACGGCACGCGTTAACGGCAACCGTAGCCGGCGAACATAGCCGTCTGTTATACGTCACAGATGTGACAACGAGAGTTCGCTACCTCGTTGACACTAGCGCAGAAGTTAGCGTTCCCCCAGTGAATTTTGACGATCGATTTCACGAATCGACCCTAAACTTACAAGCGGCAAACGGAAAACCGATCGCTACGTAATGGCAAAAGGTACGTTTACCCTAACGTGAGTTTACGCAAACCCATTCACTGGATCTTCGTTGTTGCATATGTTTCTATGACAATTATTGATATGGACCTTCTACAACATCATAATCTGATCATCGATACGCGCAAACGGAGGCTAATAGACGGAAACACTAATTTGTCCGTTTGCGTAAGTTGGTTTTCTGGTTGCAAATTATCCTCAGTCGCAGTTAAGCATATGATAGACCCACTCTATCAGCCACTACTCGATAAGTACCCTGGGATACAACAAACGCAACCGAAAATACCATGTGTAACCAGAAATGTTACACACCACATCACGACTACAGGACCACTTGTATTCTCTAAGGCACGACGACTAGCCCCTGAAAAGCTAAGGTTGGCGAAAAACGAGTTCGATCACATGATAGACTTAGGATTCATACGACCGTCAAGTAGCCCATATGCATCTCCGTTGCACATGGTCCCTAAAAAGGGCAGCAACGATTGGCGTCCAACTGATGACTATCGGCGATTGAATGAGAAAACCATTCCCGATCGTTACCCGTTTCCTCACATTCACGATTTGACAGCTATCTTGAAAGGTACAACTGTCTTTTCGAAAATCGACTTGGTTAAAGCGTATAACCAAACCCCTATGGCTACTGACGACATACCAAAAACAGCTGTCATAAATCCCTTCGGACTCTATGAATTTTCGCGAATGCCTTTCGGTCTAAGAAACGCTGCTCAAACATTCAAAAGGTTAGTAGAAGACGTTTTTCGAGGTCTCAACTTCGTACACGCGTATGTTGATGACTGTCTAATAGCAAGTCCGGACAGAGAAACACATCTCGAACGACTACAAAAACATGGCATTACTGTAAACGTTCAGAAATGCCAATTCGGAACCAACTCATTAGACTTTCTGGGACACACTATCGATGCTCAAGGTATCCGACCCCTTAAAACCAAAGTGGCGGCAATTCTGGATTACCCAGAATCGACCACCGTCAAGCAATTACGCACGTTTAACGGCCTCGTAAGTTTCTATAGACGTTTCATACCGAAATGCGCATTACTTATGAAACCTCTGACCGACCAACTTCGTGGAAATGCAAAATCGATTAATTTCGACGACACCGCACGAAAAGCATTCTCCACAGTTAAGGAACTGATCGCTAAAGCTACAATGCTCGCACATCAGGACACCGAAGCACCCATTAGTATCGCAGTAGACGCATCGGACTCGGCAATCGGTGGCGTCTTACAACAATGGGTTAACAACTCCTGGCAACCATCGTCATTTTTCTCTAGAAGGTTGCTAGACACCGAACCGAGGTACAGCATATTCGGTAGGGAACTCCTAGCTATGTATTGTGCTGTACGGCATTTTCAACACCACATCGAAGGCCGTGAATTCACCCTTTTCATGGACCATAAACCTAATACATTCTCGTTAAGCTCTCCTTCAGACAAGTACTCTCCCCTTGAGTCTCGACAACTGGACTACATTTCGCAGTTTACTTCAGATATTCAACATATTTCTGGAGCAAACAATGTAGTTGCAGACGCCTTATCTCTCATAACTTCCTTGAACAGTTTCCAAGGAATCGACCTTCTGAAACTCGCCGAGCTACAGAAAGAAGACACTGATCTTCAGCACGAGTTATCGTCCACAACCCTTAAACTACGCATCAAACAGATGGGAACAGGTAACGAAACCTTACTTTGTGACACATCTACAGGTAGGAATCGCTCAATCGTTCCGAAACATTATCGACGCAATGTTCGTGCAACCATCAAGCATATAGCAGAACGGTTTTGCTGGCCTGGCATGAATAAAGACGTGAGGGAGTGGGCACGCACTTGTGTAAGCTGCCAAAAATCTAAGGTTATCAGACACAATAAATGTCCCTTAGGCTCGTTTAAAACTCCCGATGCTCATTTCGACCATGCTCATCTGGATTTGGTAGGACCTCTACCAGATTCAAATGGACACTCTTCTTCTTAACCTGCGTAGACCGTTTCACTCGATGGCCAGAAGCAGTACCTATCAAGGACGTCACTGCTGAAACAGTGGCTCGCGCCTTCGTCGAACGATGGGCAGCAAACTCCGGCTGCCCTTCAGCTATCACTACAGATCGCGGACGTCAGTTTGAATCTGATCTTTTCCGTCGTCTGATCACACTTTTAGGAATCACTCGCTTCCGGACGACCGCCTACCATCCACAAGCAAACGGATTGGTAGAACGCTTTCACCGACAACTAAAAGCTTCACTATCAGCTGCAAGCCTTTCACAGTGGACCGACGCTCTTCCACTCGTCTTACTATGTATCCGCAATGCAGTGAAAGGTGACATTGGATACAATGCGGCTCAACTCGTTTATAGAACGACACTTCGACTTCCAGGAGAATTCGTGGATCCTTTATCCTCTTCAATGAACATGGATCTAACCTCCTACACGAACAGGCTTACAAACGCAATGCGTTCAGTTAAACCTGCTTCCACTCGACCTCAATCAACTGATGTTTTCGTTCAACCTGACTTACGATATAGTACACACGTTTTCATTCGTCGAGACTCGCATCGACGACCATTCGAATCAGCATACGAAGGACCCTTCAAAGTTCTTCAACGTCAATCTAAGTACTATATAGTCGATAAGAACGGAACAAACAATAGCATCAGCATCGATCGCTTGAAAGCAACGTATTTAGAAGGAAATACTATTCACGTCGATTTTCCTTTAGCACAATTGCACAACACGACTCCTACACTCATAATTCCTCAACCGACATCCAACACTAGCGATGATACTCCGGATGTATCTGAAAATATACCTGAAACGACGCGTTCTGGAAGAAGAGTAAGATTTCCAGAACATTTAAACGACTACTGCATGTAAGACTCTACTCGACATTTTATATTATCTCGATTTTTCTTTTTACGATATATAATATTTAAAAAAACAATTTTAATATGCCTATATATTCATATTTTTATTTACA